TCACCAAGTCCTAGCTAAAACTTTACCAAATGTGCCTTCCAAAGCCAGTCGATGAATTTTTTTAACAGTTTAAAACCCAAGTCACTGCCACCGCTCGACTTTATCAGAGACGGGCCCTGATCTGGTGAAGGGCTCCTAAACTAATCCTGAGCTGTGCCAAACTGTCTCTGAGCTCCCCCGACCTTCAGTCCATGTCAGGCAGTAATAATGACTCTACTATTAACTATACTGATAATGATCGTAATTGTACTTATCCAGCACAAAACCCCTCGAAAAACACTAAACTGAAGGAGATATGTTGATATTTTGAAGTATTGTTGAAGTATTTTTCCTCAGCGGTCACCTCGTACTCAACGTGGGAATCTCTCCCAGTGTTTTTTTAAACGAATGACTTGTTTTTTTCAGCCCAACGTGCATTAATTCTATCATAACATGTTAACATCGGTGTTGAAATGGTTCATTTATCAACAAGCTTTCCCTTCGAAATGTAACAACATCGGAAACGGAGCATTTTGTGCTGCATTTTTATCATATTTGAAAAAGAAAAAACATCCCTGGGTGAATCGAAATGTCCCAAAGCGACAGGTTCCCAGTGAGGAAAAGTGAAAAACTCCTAAATGCCGAAGTATGTCTGATCGTTTATTTACCAGGCGAAGCATCCTGACGCCACACAGTATAAATGCAGAGCCTGTACAGTGCAGTTACGAACACACAGAGGGGAGGTTGCACTTCTTTTGTCTGAATCTCCAGGACTTTAACACAGCGATGCCTTTGCCTTGTTCACACTACAGTATTGTCTGAGCTTGAACAACAGTGCCTTTATTTATTCAGTGCCATGAAACAATGTTACACCTAAATCTTTTATCACTACGCCGCTGCGTTGTGCCCAGCATGAAATCATTGTCATTTTTGGGTGTATGCAGATTAATTAGAGCTGCAGGAAACGTGCCGCAGCCTAATCATCCACTAAATTTTTACGGCTTCACATCCATAACCACTCAATTCAGATTTTAGTGCCAAAAAGCCGGAAGCTCATTTGAATTCGAAGTGCAATGCAGTATTGAAGCTGAAACGTTGATGTGAGGTTTGGACGCCTCAGGAGAACAGTGTTTAAGTTTGTGTTCTTGTTTGTTTTTTATTTGGCTCATTGTTTTGTTGGGAGATGAAGTCGTCCATATATACGTACGGTATATCTTTGCATGTGTATCCGCTTTTTTTCCCAGAGGGTGTGGTGCACTTTTACAAACACAAACCAACTGGTGCCTTGAAATAAAAAAAAATAAAAAACAACAAACAACCCACAAAATGCCGTAACATCTGTAACAAGTTTATAATGTATTTTTATATTTTATTTTGTACATGAAAATAACATTAAACGACCTTTTCAGATAAGAACATTATGCCTTATTACGGAGAGTAATTTGATGAGTATAAACATCCTTCATGTGTCATTAGCAGTCATTCTCAATGTCGGGAGAAACTGGACTCTGATGTTCTCTGTGTTAACTTGAGCCTCTGAGATCTGCGTCGCTTGCCTCCTGTGCCTTTTGTATCCTATAAGTGTGACAATTAACAGTGTCGTACAACATTAATCTACTCTTCACTCCCAAGTGTAGGTTACTAACTGTTACCTCTTCTGTGATTATTAACCACTTTAATGAGATCTGTCTCTGCTTTGGATTCCTGGTGTCTAGAAGAAGAAAATGGAAAATTGTGTGTTGGACAATGAACGTTTAACTTTTTAAGTATTCTGAGCAGGAATAACTCTTTGTACACTATTAAACTCATAGTTGTAAAACTAACAAAACTTTGTCGCTTTTTCTCTGCAGCTCTTAATTATGCAAATCAGCTTCCTTTCTGCATACTAATCACCAAACACTCCTTAGACACAGAGGAACCAGCAACAAAAAACACAGCGGATACTTCGGACAAAATGCAGGGAAAAGGCCACAGGTTGTTTTTTTTTCCCCCTCACTTCTTTTCCTTCCTCTGCTTTTTAAGTGGACATTGCAGACATTGATGTGTGCAATAAGAGAGAACAAAACACACCCAACTCACCATGGTTCCTCAGAGGCATGCGCATGTATAACAGAAAAAAAGAAAGGAGGCGGGGGGTGGGGGGGGGTTCAGGTTTTGGAGGAGTAGATGGCTGGGGAATTGAAGGGAAATTGATTGTGCAAGCTCGCCCTCAAACATCTGCAGAGTAAATATTGCAAAGGATCGCAGTCTCGTCCCTGAAGTCTCTGCAAACCTACAGCTAATAACCTACATGTGTCATTGCAGCTACATCTGTTTTAATGGCACTTTCATTTCTAAGGGTGCACTGAATAAAAATGAACACATAAAGAGGGTTATCTGACACAAGTTAAAAGCAAACTCTTCCCTTTAAACCGCACATTTCAAGTTTCACACACTCACAAAGGGGAGAGAAAAAGAAGAAGGGAGAATCACATGGGGGTTTCCGTGGTTAATGCAGCAGTGGGTGGCTCATTCGTCCTCTCCCTGCCCTTCCTGCTTCCATTGTGGAGTTGTTGGGGTGATATTGAACTTCAGGCTTGGAGTTGAGCCTGCGCTGTGGCCTCAACCCCAGCCCCTTGATCACAGAGAGAGAGAGAGAGAGAGAGAGAGGACAGAATGTGACCGCCGCTGACAATCCTCTGGACAGGAAGAAGCAAGACTGGAAGATAGCAAAAGAGAGAGAGAGAGAGAGAATAAAAAAGAAATATTGAGTGGAGAGGGATGGGTGGTGGTCCATGCGTGTGTGTTTGAATGGGTGTGTACTCTTCTCTCTGTTTTTCCTGTTTTTAGTCAAGTTTTGCATTTTTTTCCTTCTCCCCTCTTGCTCCCCGAGTCTGGTATGAAACACTCTTCAGGCATCTGGCAATGCATTCTGCAGTCAGCTCTCGCCATTTGCTGAGACTTGGGCCCAGAGCTCCCAGCGCTTACAATCAAATGTGTGTGCATGGGCGTGTGCGACGAGAGAAGACAGGTTGATTTACATTGCTATGTATGCACGGCGTTCTCCACATAATGAACAGCTCCAGATTTTTTCTCTAGCTTGGTAAATATTTGATGACCGAGCAGCAGTGTAATGATTTTAGCCGAGTAACAGCGGTTGGAGTCTTATGAGCTGCAGGGAAACAGCTCAAAAGTTGTATTTCAAAACCCCTCTCTCTCCCTTGTCCTCTTCCCATGTAAATAAGGCCAACTCCCCCTAACTCCACACACCCCTCCGAGGCAGTTTAAAGACCCAACACTGTCTTCTTGTCTCCTTGACAACCAGCATACACTGGGGTCCTGTCGAGGCCTCTCTGTCTTTTGTGTTTGGGAGCTCAGAGAGACAGAAAGAAAGAAAGAGAGCGAGGGAGGAGAGGAAGGAGAGGATGAAAACAAGAGTCGCTGAAAAAGATAACAAAGATGACATCACGGCTATTTTATCCCACAACTGAGAGTTTGGTTCGCAGCCCAGCGAGGATGACGATGGTTGGGGATGATGAGGATGGGGACGACTAGCCAGAGGCACAAAATGGGTGGCAGGGACAGTCTGAGAGAGAGAGAAAGAGGGAGGAGGGGTGAGAGAGAGAGAGAGAGGGAGAGAGAGAGAGGCCCAGGGGCTGAATGGGGCATTGTGGGAAAGACAGTGGGCACACTGGGCAGTAACACAGAGAACACTAACTCACAGATCATGCCAGAGAGTCTGAAAACACCCACACTGGGCGACAATGGCAAACTTCATCGCTCCACTTGGCCCCTTCTGAATACACACATACAATGGCAGAATCCAAATAAGATGCTCTGTTATTCGGGAAATTCAACACACTAAATTCCTTCAGTGGCTCTGTCCCTTTGACCGGCAGCAGATGGCCGGGGCCCGAGCTGCGTGAGCGTGAGCTTACGTGCGTGTGTGTGCGGCCCTGTCTCCCCGGTTGCATCAAAGGGTAAGTGGCCACGCAGGCATGAAAAGGTGGAGGAAGGAGCACATCAAGGTCTGATAGGTGTCACACGGAAGTTATTAAACCGGCCTCCTTCAATTAATGCAAACAGCGCCATGTAAATCCAGCTCAAATCTGTCCTGAGTGCATGGGAACAAATTTAACCAAATGAGTCAATTAAATCAGGCCTAATTAGAATGAGGTCTGAGGAGCAGCAGCAACTGGTTTGACCTTTTCTACAGCTCGTCTTCCCCGTCAGCTCTCTGCTGCCTCCCTGTGTAGCATCAGAGGACGTCCAGATGAGATTTACAGTAAACTGCAACAGGTCCTGAGCACAGAGACGATGAGTTGAAAGCAAAAGAGGCCTAACACTTGCATCAGCTTCTTAAAAAGAGTAATTTATCATGTTTTAAAGTCTTTTTCTGTAT